TATCTATCTATCTATCTATCTATCTATCTATCTACAGTATCTATCTATCTATCTATCTATCTATCTATCTATGCAGAAAAAGGGGAAGGCAGGGAAAGCAGAATCCTGCTCTGGTCCTCTTAGCTGCTCCAGTTACTGTGGTAACAGGACATAACTTGGCAACTGGAGGCGGGGTGGTGGGGAGGGGGAGAGAGAGAGAGATACAGGCTTCGGGCGCCATGGCAACCCCATTGCCATCCCCTGCCTCTTGAGCGGTGATAGGCAGGAGGGCATTTTGGGCATCCTCTCCTGGATGAAGGAGGCGGGCGAGGAAGATTCTGCCCATCTGGCAACAGAGTTGAAGGAGCCCTTCGGAGTTTGGATGGAGAGCTTTGCAATTTTTTCCCCCTCCCTCCCAAAGCTCATTTTCAGGATTGGTAGGGATAAAGTAAACTTTAAAAAGAATTTAAAGAGGGCCTTTGTATCTGCACTTTATTAAAATGGCTATACTTAAAATAACCACAGAATAGTCTTTATTGTGAATAACAGAATAGAAAAACAGAGTTGGGAGGGACCTTGGAGGTCTTCTATCCCACCCCCTGCCTAGGCAAGAAACCTTCTGCTTTTTCAGACCAATGACTGTCCATTCTCTTCTTTTAAAAGTACATGACTGTTACATTTATTATATTAATTTGCTTGATTCTTTTTATTGGCTTCATTGTTTTAAATGTGGTTTTAAATTCTTGGGTGAATCCGTGGGTGAATAGTTAATGGCAAAAGTTCTCCTGGCACATATTCTATTCTATCCCTATTTGTTTTATTTTCTATTCTATTCTATTCTCTATTTCTATTCTTCTATTTCTATTCTTTTATTCTATTCCTCCTTCTCATTCTAGTCTATTCTATTCCTATTCTATTCCTATTTATTTTCTCTTCTGTTCTATTCCTATTTATATTCTATTCTACTCTATTCTACTCTACTCCTTATTCTATTATATTCCATTCTTATTTATTTTCTCTTCTCTTCTATTCCTATTTTTATTCTAGTTCTATTTCTATTCTATTGTTCTCTATTCTATTCTACTCCTTATTCTATTCTATTCTTATTTATTTTCTCTTCTATTCCTATATATTTTCTCTTCTCTTCTATTCCTATTTTTATTCTATTTCTATTCTATTCTACTCTTCTATTCTACTCCTTATTCTATTCTATTCTTATTTATTTCCTCTTCTATTCTATTCCTATTTATATTCTATTCTACTCTATTCTATTCTACTCCTTATTCTATTCTATTCTTATTTATTTTCTCTTCTATTCCTATATATTTTCTCTTCTCTTCTATTCCTATTTTTATTCTATTTCTATTCTATTCTACTCTTCTATTCTACTCCTTATTCTATTCTATTCTTATTTATTTCCTCTTCTATTCTATTCCTATTTATATTCTATTCTACTCTATTCTATTCTACTCCTTATTCTATTCTATTCTTATTTATTTTCTCTTCTCGTCTATTCCTATTTTTATTCTATTTCTATTTCTATTCTATTCTACTCCTTATTCTATTCTATTCTTATTTATTTTCTCTTCTCGTCTATTCCTATTTTTATTCTATTTCTATTTCTATTCTATTCTACTCCTTATTCTATTCTATTCTTATTTATTTTCTCTTCTATTCCTATTTATATTCTATTTCTATTTCTATTCTATTCTACTCCTTATTCTATTCTATTCTTATTTATTTTCTCTTCTATTC